TATTGCCCAAGCACGGCATGGCATTATCTATGAATGCACAAGCCGACGTTGGTGCAGAGCTTCGTCTTCCGGTCAGTGTGTGGTTAAGGTTCTTCACAAGAGAGATGTGGGAGAGAGTGCCTGGAACCAGACTGCTGTTGATTTAGTCAATATGAGGTGAGTCTAAGAGGTTTTTTTTTTTCTAAGAAAATGCATCCAAAGTTTTTAGTGAGTGAAAAGTCAAGTATAAGCAAAAAATCTAGATGCGGGGTTTTCATACCCGATGGGCTAAAGAGATCTGTCCTTCCCTCCAATGATTGATTGAAATTAAAGGAGCTACGTCACGGTTTGTGCATCTTTTTCAAGTTCGTCGTTTGTGATCCGTGTTAATCTTCACCATCCTTAACCATCCTTGTTCCTTTATGATTTGTTATGTTCTCTTTGATGTTTTTATATCTTTGTAAACTATTATTTTCAGGTTTCCTACAGTCAAAAGAGCAATTTTGCACATGATTGAGCGCTCCTTTAAAATCAGCACAAAACTAAGTTAAGAAGACTGCGACAATTTGAATTTCGTCTAACTTGTAATCGATCCACAAGTATTTACAAGTGCCTTGTTTAAATTTTAAGAGAGTGTGACTAACTTAGGTTTTCACGTAATACTTTCTTTGGGGATCTGTTCAAAAGAGGTGGAGTGGTTGTCGTTAAGGCTTTTCATAGGGAGAAGTTTTGCGATTGAAAAAAACGGTGTCGGATAATGAAATTTTCTTGTGAATTATTGCAGGGAACGATCGTTCAAGGCAATGAATCAAAGGAAATAAAATTGAACATTACATTAACATAAAAAAAAAATTCAAAATAAGCCTAACAGGTATCGAATGTTTTAGCATGAAAAGTCTAAAAAACACCATCCAATAGGGTCATAATCGGACGGGCTTTATCGAAATCTAAGCCCAACGAAAGCACTTTCGCGTCAAAGATTTGGGTAGTGCTAGTAGTTTTTTTCCGAGCTTTGAGCATGTTCACGGACTGCTGTGGTATATCGTATTTAAAAATTAGCCCAGTTATTAAACCACAAGAGAGTTCGCTGACTATGCCGTTCTTTGAATCTCTAGGGATATAATTGAGCAACTCCATGGCTCTGACACAAACCTGTTGCGCCTGCATGGCTGGGTTATCCCTGAGGTTGATATTTTACACGTCGTCATGGAGAAGGCAGACAGGGGGCTGCTGCGCGCTCTCCAAGAAAGACTACCGCTGTCCACGAGGATGCGCATAGCACTGGATTTGGCTGAAGGACTAAAGGCCATTCACGATATTGATTACATTTATGAGGATCTCAAACCTGGAAACATCTTGGTTTGTATAAATCGACTACTCTTATCCTTTAAAGTCAGTTAATTTAAAGTTAGCTCCGGAATCCTTCCAGTTCTACGCAGCTGCTGTTACTGGATGATTGTATAATATTGTGGGGCGTGCTAAAACACGAAATGGCGAAATGAGGAAATTGGCACTGCGGTTAGCCTAAATAACGTTCAGGTTAGCCTAAATAGCGCTCACGTTACCCTTAAAGTCACTGACTCGACATTAATTATCTCTCAATAATTGAAAGGGTTAATCCGTACAGACACCCGTATCCAACATCAACTCTTATACCCTTAGTGCCATTTCGTCATTTCGCCATTTCGTGTTTTTAACACACCCAAAATTATCCTCTTCCTTGACAGGTTAAATTACCACAAAGGTATTGGTTTCTAAAGACTCTTGGGCTGCGTCGGTGAGAAACGTAGCCTTTTATCAACCTCAGGTTGATAAAGGTTACTTAACCTAGCATCGTAGTGAGATTGTGAAACTAAAGTTTTGGGTGTGGCGCTTTGTCGGAGCAAAGTCAACATAATGAAGTAACATTGTTAGTCTTACATGAAGTCATAACGGTGCAATATGAAACTTCTCAGTCCGAAGTGGAGTTTGGACATCTTTTTTGTTACACCGCTTTTGTTCAGAAGTACGTGGTTTAATGCTTGCTTTATTTCCTCCTCAGCTGATGTTTGATGGAACAGCCAAGATCAACCTTGCCAAACCAGAGAGTCCTTATGACATGACACCTCTGGGTGCACCATTCCACATTTCACCTGAAATGTACCAGTATCATGATAGAGGCCACCTCAGTTACAGTTCGTACGACATCTATGCATTTGGAATGCTTCTATGGGTACTCTGTGAAGGAACTGGAACGGCACGGCCGGAAGTGTACAAAGACCTGGAAACCATTGAAGCCATGCAGAAAGTGGTGGTGGAAGGTGTTGTACCAAAGAGGCTTCCTGTGGTGAGCGATGCATGTTGGGAATTGATGAGGAGGTGCTGGGATGAAAGAGAATCCTTGCAAATGATACACCTCGTGACAAAATTGCAACTGATATTGGAAGCATGCATGTCAGAAATCAATGAAAAGTAACAGTTGTACTCATATAAATAAACTACTCTGTACCCCTTACAAATGGAATGTAGTTCCATGTCCATAATGTTAAGGGACCACGCTAGGCAGGTGAACTGATTGCGAAAAATCAAAAGTATGTAGGAAGTAGCTGAAGAATGAACATAAGATGGCTCCGTTCAGTGCACATGAAAAAATGCCTGATTCCACATGCGATTAAGAAGTTGCTCTCTAAGTAATCGAAGATGGATTACACAGTAGTAAAAAGACGGCATAACAAATGAGTGAATAAATAAATGAGTGCATGGTTGCAGTAATTCACGTATTCAGCAACATATATCCATATTTTAAGCAGTTAATATCAAATTTATCTTACCTGGTATTTAATTACGTTCAGTAAGTTCGATTTTATATCGCTCAGTTTTATGAGCTTATAATTCCAGGAAGGTTACTTTAAGTACACGTGTATTTTAGAGCAAAAAACACGAAAAATGTAGCTAGCGTAATCAACTATACCTGCGTAAATAAATCACAGTGATGATGACAATTCAATGAGTAAACGAACAAAAAGTAACGATATCGATTTTCCATTGTGCTGCGAGATTTAACAAGTTCAATGAAATAGAAATTCAAAACATAATTAATTAATGGTAATTTTCGCTGGAGGATTGCATAATTACTAATTTACAATCACTGCCAGGACTCAGTGACTTTTACGTGGTGTAGAAGACACAGAACAAAAAAAAAACAATGAAAACAGTAAGTGTTCTTTTGTGGCGCGTACTGTGTCTTCTGCATCAAGAACGAGCCGACCCCGTTTGCTTTTGAGCAATGAGACACGTACTTATTCGCCATCTCGGTATTGGTCTAGTAATCCCACAAAAGTAACTTCAAATATTCCATACGTTCAAAATGTCGGAGCTTCCTGGTTAGAAATACAATAGGAATAAATTTTTTCGGCCAAAAAAAGCCTTTAAGGAGTATGAGTTGTGTTTATTTCCACCATTGTTGATATTATCATGTCCCATTCATTTCGATTCCGGTCCCTCAGGCAGATCACAAGCTTCACGTGAATGGCGGGGGTGAAAGCTCTTCACCAAATCATTATCATGTCCCATTCATTTCGAGTCTGGTCCCTCAGGCTGCTCACAAGCTTCACGTGAATGGCGGAGGTGAAAGCTCTTCACTGAATCATTATCATGTTCCATTTATTTCGAGTCTGGTCCCTCAGGCTGCTCACAAGTTTCACGTGAATGGCGGAGGTGAAAGCTCTTCACTGAATCATTCGAATTCGATGGATCAAAACCATCTTATGCTTCGATAGACGCTGAAAATGGCAAACAGGGCCAACAAGAACACCTTCCAAGAATTGCCTCAGATCACCATCGATAAGCTAGCCGAACCCCCCGAAGGTAAACGTGCTAACAAAAAAAGGGCTACGCCCAAGTGGATAGTGATTAATAGAATTGCCGATCTCGTATGGTACCAATCTGGACCAAAAGAGAATAAAATGAAAAGCAAGAATTTACAGAGGCCTATTGACTCCGATCTTCGACAGACGACCGATGTTTATGCTAAGCACACTCTTAACACAAACAATGCAAATGTACTAGACTGTTCTAAACAAGGAAACAATAGAGAAGAGTTTATCGAGACGACGATATTGACAAATCCGGAATATCCATTCGAATTGTCTGAAAGTTAATACCAAAAGAAAGAAATCCAGTAATACCCACCTCAGTTTACCAACCAATTCTGTAGTGTCATGCGCTAGTGAGTGGACACATCAAAATAATAATAGACAGGCCTGTTTTGTACAGCTGGTGAAAAGTTTATTCAAAACATTACTTATTAACTGAAACATCTTGCAAGTTAGCTATACTTCCAAAAATACTGACAACTACAAGAACTTTAGATTATATTCCCTTGCACGTAGAATGCAACTAAGCTAAGCTTCAGAACGTTAATTATCAACTAAAAAGTCTTGCAAGTTATTTATACTCCCAAAAATACTGACAATGCAACTAGAAGAACTTTAGATTATATCCCCTTACAAGTAGAATGCAACTGAGCAAAGCTTTAGAACGTGAATTATCAACTAAAAGACTGACAAGTTATTTATACTCCCAAAAATACTGACAATGCAACTAGATGAACTTTAGATTATATTCCCTTACACGTGGAATGCAACTAAGCTAAGCTTTAGAACGTTAATTATCAACTAAAAAGTCTTGCAAGTTATTTATACTCTCAGAAATACTGACAATGCAACTAGAAGAACTTTAGATTATATTCCCTTATACATGGAATGCAACTAAGCTAAGCTTCAGAACGTTATTTACCAACTAAAAGGTCTTAAAAGTCATTTTCCACACTCCCAAAAATACTGATAACCAGGAGAAGTTTAGATTATATTCCCTCGCATGTGGAATGCAACTAAGCTAAGCTTCAGAACGTTAATTATCAACTAAAAAGTCGTAAAAGTTCTTTATACTCCCAAAAATTCTGACAACTACAAGAACTTTAGATTATATCCCCTTGCACATGCCCTGAAACTAAGCTACGCTAAGCTTCTATCTGTTGCCTGTTCTATTTCTCCTTTTACTTTTCTTTTTCTTGGTGGGGCGTTGGGAGTAGAGATTTTTAAAATACCTTGTGGAAGTTGACTCGACAATAAAAATCGAAAACCATCTTTACAAGTATTTCAACGAAGATCTGCCAAAAACGGCAATACTTCTCCCCTCAGTGGAAATATCACTGTTGAAACTTTTCTCACTGTATCAACGCCCTCTTATTTAGTTTTGGTACTTAATACGAGGTAGCTAGCTCGCCCGTCTTTCCTATCGCTGTTTCACATGAAACGATGCGAGGTATAACTGAAGAATATGGCTGACTCAGCTCTAACAACAGATCTTGATGACGCAGCCTTAAAGTTCTATCAAGCTCATTGAATTAATATTCTCTTGTTAATTCTATCATTTAGCAGGATGTAGTTAGCCATTGAAAACTGCTCCTCGACTAGCTCATCCGTCTTTCCTATCACCATTTTACATAGCCGAAAACGATGCGAGGCTCAACTAGTTGAAGAATATCGCTGCCCCCAAAATCGGATCCCGAGGGCGCAGTCTGAAAAGAACCTACTCTTCAAGTTCCATCGATGACTATCCGTCTTGTTTATGATATTTGTCAGTGTTTCTCCATCTAACCAAACTTAGAACTAATTTTTAGGTGTACTTCACGAAAATGGTTATTATGGTATAGAAACAATGATATTCTGGTGTAAACAATTGACACTGTTTTGTCCATTCATCAAATTAAACTGGATGCTGAAATCGTAACCGGAACCAGAGGTCTTCTTTTGCCAGTTGACGACGGCCAATATACGACTGATAACTGACGACCGACGACAACAATACTAATAACAACTTAACGGTATTACTTTATCATGTAGGTCAGGGTTTTTATGGTCATTCTGTGGCCTACAAACCGGTCGTAAAACTTAGTTTAGATCAACCTGTATACCAACGCGATCAGTAACATTTGAAATCATCTCTATTTACAAGTTTCTAACACGTATTTAAGGCCTCAATTATTCACATTTGTAATTAAAAAAAAAACAGCACGACCTGTCCCTTTAGTAACGCTAAACACTTCCAAACAATGAGACGCATGGTCGCCACAGACATCTAACATTTGTCTTCTACAACAAACGTTATAGTGCAAGACACACTGCAAGATTTCAAAGAGGAAGGCGTTAACCCTGAATCGTGCGAATTTATTTTTGAGAAAAGCTCTGCAAAACATGACAAATTTGGTGGAAGTTCCTTCGTTTTCTTTTAGAGATAAATCTAACATTCGACTCAAACAATCGAGTTCGCTTTTACAAACTTGTTTTTTTTTTTACAGACTTGTAACTTCATAAACTTCATAGTAAGATAGCATCTCAGCGACTTGTAATTTGAAGTTATCCATCAATGACATTAGAATGCCTTCTTGTCGCTGAGCATTAAACATGGTATGGACAATTTTTAGCGCTTTCACCTTTCCGCCCGAATGCCGGACCCCCGGGTCCTTCCACCGAGAGACGTGATCAGAATCTTTCGCCTGGTTGATGGCAGTATACACCTCGTTTACGTTGCTTGTCTGAGCGTAGGCTGGCCTGTCGTACTTTTCTCCCAACAGCAACAAGAGCAGAACAGCAAGGCTGTACGCACAGTGGGTTTGAAGAGTACTCACCGTGTCAGGGTCAACCTTGCAGGCACCTGGATTCCCACGTGGTACGTGGAAAGGCGCTAAATTGTCGGGATAAGGGATTGAATCATCTCTTGGCTTGGAGACGTTTAGTTTTGCGTTCAGTTCAACATCAAGCTGTTAAGGGACAGACACTATAAATTAATGTGATTTAGACAATCTAGACAATAAGTAATTTGTTCTTAAGATGATGTGCAGTTTTCGAGACAAATTCACAATTACAAAGTGCTACGTTCGAATTTTGAGACTTTTCCCCCCGCGTCCTGATTTTGTCTTTCGACATATTTTGCTTCGTCTATAGATCGTTTTCGCGTGACGTCATTACTTTCTAAAATCCAAAACTAAAGAGCCACCAACGTTTTTATCCTCATCAGGCATAAGAGTCGGCATATTTATATCTGTCTACAATTTTACAGCTCAATAGGGTGTTTCGTTTGGAAACCAGAGCATTTTAAATTTCAGGGTTATGGAGGTGCGTGACACAAGTTTGTTGAAAAATATATAGTTATCTCATGATCTTGAGCCTTTTTAGAAGTTAGAGCATTAGGTAAAGTGCTTATGTAAATGCTTGTTTGTTCAGAACTGATAATCAGTCGCCTAGATAGCCAAAGTAAGTTCCAGATGTTTACACTATTTTCCGGCCGCCATATTGGTGTACCACGGATGTACACCAACATGACGTTTCCATACTGGGCTCTGTAAATTTCTGCGAAACATTTCCACGAATATCTGCAGTTTGGGGAAACGCACAGGCCTAAAACTTGGAGAGGTGTCTCATTTAGTTATGTTCTATAACATCACAATTTCTTAGCCTTTTCCGCAGGATAGTTTTCGATTTAGTTTTGTATTGCGTGACAATGAAAACGAGCAATAGCTTGTCAGTGTTTCTATGAGCAAATCTCCTAAGAGGGAATGCCCACGGCTGACATCAAGCCAGTGGTGCCACATAATGTTTCATTTCCTATGGCAGTACTAGACACGTGGTGCGGGTTTCTTTTTTGACATGTCTTTAAACCCGCCAAGCCCCCACGAAGATTGCCAAGGGAAAACCTGAAACTTGAAACAATCGAGGAAATGAGTAAAAAATTATAAGTACCAGAACATTTGTAATCCTCAAGTCCACATGGTGAATGCCTCTGATCCAGCAATTCTCGAGGGCGTCAATCATTTGCTGTACTATTTTCAATCCTTGGACCAGTTTGATGGGATTCTCCTGGCCACTCTGTAGACGCTCAAACAAGTCTGTGTTCATCCTTGGAAACAGGACAGTGACTTCATTGCTTCCATCCAGAATCAATGAAACAGGTTTTAAAATTGTGGAAATGTCTTCTTGAATCCTACAGGTATTAAAGGAAACGTTTGACTTTTACCTCGACGTCCTAAAGAGAGCATTTCTGTACGGACGCAATCGTCAGGCTAGAAAAATCAATTTTGTTCTCTCCAGAACAAAAAAATTTACACCATAGAAATTTGTAAACAGAACAATGCACTGCTAGTCTGTACGCACATGGGGGTTTGGGATCAACGCAGACT